GTTTAAGCGCGACTGTCATCTTTAATAACAAGCTTCAAAAACTAATTACCATCTATAATTCATAAAGTTAATTTCATCGGAAGCTCAAATTTCCAAAATCAAAATTACAAAAATTACCCTCATAAACCATCAGAAACTAGTTCTCCAACTAAAATCCAAAAGCAAGTTTTAAATCTCCTCTACGAACTAAAATTGTTATACAAATCCAAAAACAAACTTGCATAAACCATAAGAAATTCAAAACGGAGCAGAACTAGCTACTTAAAGACTTCAATCCTTAGTTATGAACTCCAAATTTCCACTCCTAGACCTTTGATCATCGATGTTCATGTAGGCATGTAGCAACCAACACTTCTTCAATCTCAAGCCTGGAAACAAATGTTTACTATCAGAACACTTCATATGTCAATTGCTCTACCCATTAAAAACAAAGTGCCTCCAGTTCATGGACAACAACGACTAACTCTATTTGGCTCACAAGTTTTGAGCTAAGTTGTAAATGAATTACCTCAACTTCGTTGGTTACCTCTTAATTCGTGTTGTCTTTTGGAGTTTTGATGCAAGATCTACACCATAATTCATTATTAATAAGTTGATAAATAATGTAATCGGACTTCTAAGAACTTAAAACAGAAAATGATTACCTTTTGAATCCATTTGGACTTTTTGTTTGGGGCATTTCCAGCAGTGCCTGATCAGATGAACTGTGCAGTACTTATTTGCAGGCCAAGCAACAAGTATTGACAGTATTTGCATTTTTCTTTCCTCTCATTATCAATTAGAACTTTTTCAAAATGATCCCACCATGTAGAACACACTTTGGTGGGTGATGACTAATGAGAATTTATTTCTCTTTACTCCACAATCCAGATGCTATAAGTTGGCGGGACGGGCCGGGGCAATAGCAAACCCATATCTGTCATATTCTGGTCGCGGGTCGGGTCACGACCTGCCCCGTTCTAGGACGGGTCAGGTTCTACCTGCCACGGACCGGGTCGGAAAAAATCCGTCGGGATGGGTCTACACTGCCATCACCACCTGCGACAGTCAACAAACAATTGAATTGTCAATAAAAGAACTTTAGTAGCCACTAAGTAGGTAGCCATATTGTACAAACGAGGTGTATACATATATAAAAAAAAGGAAAAAGAAAAAAAGATGTCAAACGAATTTCCTCTAGAATAGCTCCACCGGATGCATGTTAAGTGTCCTGCTCTCGAACATGTCGAACCAAAGATTGACAATCGCCACAAAAGTTGACATGCAAGAAACCATGGAGTTAACTAAGGGTCCTTTTTTTATGGAAATATGGCTAAACTTTCATTAATCGGTTAAAGCGGTTACATTGTCCTGTTGCAACTACTAACAAGATAAATAAGTGGTCGATCCAATCAAACAATTCTCTCGTTCCAATCTATCATCGCATGCGCCATTATGTGAGCAGCATTAGTTAGCTGCCCTTAGACTTATTAACTTTTCTTTTTGTATTTTTTCAAGCGATTTTTTTTTTGTAATTTTTGGTTTATATAAATAATGATAGTGGAAGCAACGTCACCCGTGAATGCTGAGTCACAGCGGGAGTGAATGTTTGATTTTCAATATTAACATTCAACTCAAATTTCGAATAAAATTCGTTCATATTCTGAAAATTTGGACACAACTGTCTTATTTGAAAGTTAAGTTTAAAATTATCATTTACGCCACAATTCAGACCAAAATAGGATACTATCTCTTATTAATTTCATCTTTCGAATCACATCCAACCAAACACCTGTTACTTTGTTTATCGTTCGAGTTTCACAATTTTTACCATACCGTTTGGTATAAATGAATTCCATAAGTTTTGAAAAATTCATTTTGAAATGAAACATTTTTATGTTTGGTATTTAAAAGAATTCATTTCCAATTTTAAATTTTTAATTCTATGGAATTGGAACTAGTTATAGCAATTTCGAGGAATTGAGATAGAATTTTCAAATGAATTCCACAAGAATTTACTAATTACAGACCGTTTGGTACCAAATGAATATAGAATTCATTTCATTGTAAAATGAATTACTATGTAGAATTCATTGTCAAATGAAATCCTATGTTTGGTATGTTATATTCAAATCTTTAGAAATAAAATGAAGTGTCGTGTAGAATTCATTGTCAAATGAATTTCTGTGTTTGGTATGTCATATGTATCCTCCATTAATATATGGTAGAGTTTTGTGTACTTTTCTCCATTTCAAATTTCCTGCAACGAGAGTGAAAGTAGGAAAGTCATTTTTGTCTTTACACATTTATTATTTATTTCATATAAAAATAGCAATATCAAGATTTGAACCCAGGTCTCTTCAAACAAAGATAACAATCACAACCAGTTACACTAACAAATTTATTGCATCCTTTTTTATACAAAACATAGACAAAGTTAATCTCTGAAAATCAGAGGACTTTTTCATCATAATTAGCAAGCTCACTAAGTCTACCGTATGTATTTTTATCGAGCTTGATACTTCTATTTTCATAGTAGAGTTTCATGTAATTTTCTCAATTTTAAATTCCCGCTCTCTCCTTAATTTTTGCTAAAAGTAAATGGGTAATTGGCTAACATGGAAGAAACTAATTATGTAACTACGTGTTGTATCCTTGCATTTTTCAATTTAAATTTAAATTTTGTGCTTTTTTACCTTTGTTCTTTTCTCTTTCTAACTTCCTTCGAAATTTCATCCATCGTCCAATAGCTTGCGCCTTTCACTTCCCAGTACAAGACTGTCATTGAAAATCAATCTTCAGGTATCTCTTGGCACTACGGTTTTATTATTGGGGATTTTAAGCTGGGCGAGTAGAAGATTTCAACTTCGATATCAATCCATGGAGAATAGAATGGAGTTCATCAATAACTGGAGTTGTAGAAGGAGGATTAGAAATTGAATTTTTGGTTGAATATATGCCTCTTGAGATAGAAATTTGGTTGTACAACGGAGAGTGGTGGCTATTGGATCTTTAGGTTTATGGTTTTTGCAACTGTCACAACCTATGTTTATCTTAAAATGAGGAATCATTGATTGATTGTTTGAAATAGGTCGCTTCTTTATTCAACCTACTGGAACTAATAGATAAGGAGTGTCTAATTCTGCGCCTTATTACTTTGATCGAGTCTATTCATATATTGGAGATAACCCTGATTTTTTCATTTGCTCTCAAGTTGTGATGGTCCCCTCTTAGCTGAGTTTTTAGTATATAAATGACTTGAATCAACAACTCTCTATTTCTTTTTGATTAGTGACATATTGTTTCTAAAAGGAGAGCATTGAACCCTTCATATAAGATTGTGAGGTTTAAGATTTAGTTTTAAACTATCTATGGGTCGTGTGAGAATTTCAGTGAGCTTTTATACTCTATATTTCTTGACTGTAAAAAAAAACTAACCAATAGCATTTTAACAGGGACTTAATTAGCATTATGAAAATTGGGTCAATGATACATTTTTATATTTTATATTCTTAAATGATTATGATATTTCTCCGAATGTTTGACCTATATATTATTTTTTTTATGTATCATCTCGATCGAATGATTATCAATAAGATTAAACGGGTTAATAGACTTAAAAGTAACATAAAAATACAAATAATCAAATATGAGCATTACGGCCAAATGGCCAGGTTATAAGCTAGTAAGTAATTTAGTTAATAAAAGAGGATACTCATGTCATTCTATTATAATTAGTAAATATTTGTGGAATTCATTTGGAAATTCCATCTCAATTCCTCGGAATTACTATAACTAGTTCCAATTCCGTAGAATTCAAAATTTAGAATTGAAAATGAATTCTTTTTAATACCAAACACAAAAATATTTCATTTCAAAATGAATTCCTCAAAACTTATAAAATTCATTTATACCACGGTATGTTATAATAGAATGATATAATTATTCTTTTTTATTAACTATATTACTTATACATATAACATACTAAATATAGAAATTCATTTGACAATGAATCTACATGACAATTCCTTTTATTTATAAAAATTTGAATATAAGATACCAAACATAAGATTTCATTTGACAATGAATTCTACACGATAATTCATTTTACAATGAAATGAATTCTCGATTTATTTGGTACCAAACGGTCTATACAAGTTGATTCCTAGGAAGATTTACCTACCAAATATCATTTAGCAAATAAAGTTCAAATTAATGTATGAACTTATCAAACTCCAATGAGAACTTCTTTTCTTTTTCACTATCATAGTATACTATTCTGATCTGGAACACCATTATTATCTTAGTATATAGTCCAAAGTTGACGAATAATTTACAGTTGTTGCTTATTGCTTCTCCAGCCGAGTATTATTTCAACACGTCCGGAAGACAGACTTCAAAATATGGAATAAACCAACTGGAAACAGGAATATAATCAACCAAACCCCATTTTTCATTTTCCCTCTATACTTTTGACAGTTAAAATAGTTTACACCAATAAGTCCGATTAACGGCAGCAAAATCGAGTTGCTGTCTTAAAAAGGCAAGAGCCCAATTTCTCATGCTTTCTTCTCATTTTTGTCCCTCTCTCTCTCTCTCTCTCTCTCTCTCTCTTCCACTCCCCTTCCTCTCTCTGTTCATTGACCTCCACCACCACCACCACCACAGGCTGACACCAGCCCTAGCCAGCTTCCTTCCCTTCTTCTGCCGGCGCTTCTCTCAGTCATTCATTCCGGCCATCGCCACAGAGCTCTTTCACTCCTTCTCCGTTCCAATCTCAGGTACTGTTTTCCATTATCTGCATCCTCAAATCTCTGTTGTGATCGATTATTCCGATGCCGCCTGCCTTTTTGACTCGTTCCTGCGCCATCCGGCCTCCGCCGGCATCTCAAACTTGATGGATCTGATTTCCTTTCTCCACTAGGCGTTCAGATCTTTAACTTAATCTTTACCCTCTCTTGATTTCCAGCTCCTTCCCTTCAACCCCGCCTGCCGGCAGATTTCCTAGGGAGCCCAAATCCATGAGGCAAAAGGAGGGATTCGGCTTCTCCTGGGTTCTCCTCTGCTACTTCGCCGCCGCCGCCGCCGCCGCTTCCCTCCACCTCATCGGAGCTCAGAACTATGCCCCCACGGACAAAATCCTTCTCAACTGTGGCGCCAGCACGGATCTCAACGACACCGATAGCCAGACGTGGCACCCGGACAACCAGGGCTCCAAGTACTTGCCCCCATCGGGGAACTCCCTGACCGCCGCCGCGGCCTCTCAGAACCCTGGGGTCGCTCAGGTCCCGTTCATGTCCGCCCGCATCTTCCGGTCGAACTTCACCTACACTTTCCCCGTCGGTTCGGGCCACAAATTCCTCCGCCTCTACTTCTACCCAGCTTCCTACGGCAACAATCTCAACTCCACCGATGCTCTCTTCTCCGTCTCCGCCGGCGGGTTCACCCTGCTCAACAACTTCAGCGCCGCCCAGACTGCATCGGCCCTCAATTGGGACGTCGTCGTGAAGGAGTACTCCATCAACGTCGACGCCGGATCCCTCAATGTAACGTTCTCCCCATCCACGACTTCTTCTAGATCTTTCGCGTTTGTGAATGGGATCGAGGTTGTGTCCATGGATAACATCTACGGAGATCCCAATGGAGCTCTGCCCATCGTAGGACAGAGCGGTACTTATTCCATCGATAACTCATCGGCTCTGGAGAATGTCTACCGCTTGAATGTCGGCGGCAACGATATATCGCCTTCCGGCGACACTGGGATGCTCCGGTCGTGGAGCGATGACCAGCTCTACATCTACGGTGCGGCAATTGGAGTTGCGGAGTCTGCTGATCCTGGGACCAGCCTCAAATTCCCTTCTGGAACCCCTTCCTACATCGCCCCTGAGAATCTCTACCTCACCGCGAGATCCATGGGTCCAGGGCCGCAAGTCAACCTGAATTACAACTTGACCTGGATATTCAATGTCGATTCGGGCTTCAATTACTTGGTCAGGCTCCATTTCTGTGAGATGTCCAATATCACGAAGATAAACCAGAGGGTGTTCAAAGTCTACATCAACAATCGGACGGCAGAGGACGCTTTCGATGTGATTGCCTACGCCGGAAGTAGTGGTGTTCCGGTTCATAAGGATTATGTTGTTCTGGTCGCCGGCGGAACCCCTCAGCAGGACCTTTGGTTAGCACTTAATCCCAATAACGCTTCTAAGCCAGAGTATTACGACGCAATCTTGAATGGGGTCGAGATATTCAAGCTAAGCAGTCCAGCTGGTAATCTAGCCGGCCCTAATCCAATTCCTCTCCCCAAGCAAGAAGTAATTGACCCTTCCAGGGTTAGGCAGGCAGCCAAGCATTCCAAAAGCCGCGTTGCAGTGATCGCCGGTTGCCTATCAGCTGCTTTGGTCGTCGTCCTTATTGCCGGTTTCTGCTTCGTTAATGCATCTCGTCGCCGTAGGCAAGGGAAGGAGCCGAATTCGAGCGATGGTCCATCCGGCTGGCTTCCACTCTCTCTATACGGCAACTCGCACTCAGCAGGTTCAGCCAAGACAAACACAACAGGAAGCTATGCCTCTTCTCTGCCATCGAACCTCTGCCGCCACTTCTCCTTTGCTGAGATCAAGGCCGCCACCCACAACTTCGACGACTCTCGCGTCCTCGGAGTAGGAGGCTTTGGTAAAGTGTACAGGGGAGAGGTGGATGGCGGGACGATGAAAGTGGCGATCAAGCGTGGCAACCCGTTGTCTGAACAGGGCGTCCACGAGTTCCAGACCGAGATAGAGATGCTCTCCAAGCTCCGCCATCGCCACCTTGTTTCCTTGATCGGATACTGCGAGGAGAACTGCGAGATGATCCTGGTGTACGATTACATGGCCTATGGAACATTGCGCGAGCACCTGTACAAGACTCAGAAGCCTCCCTTGCCGTGGAAGCAACGGCTCGAGATCTGCATTGGCGCTGCCCGTGGCCTCCACTACCTCCACACGGGTGCCAAGCATACGATCATTCACAGGGATGTCAAGACGACCAACATCCTGTTGGACGAGAAGTGGGTGGCGAAAGTTTCCGACTTCGGGCTGTCGAAAACCGGGCCGTCTCTGGATCACACCCACGTGAGCACGGTGGTGAAGGGGAGCTTCGGGTACTTGGACCCGGAGTACTTCAGGAGGCAGCAGCTGACGGATAAGTCCGATGTGTACTCTTTCGGGGTGGTCCTGTTCGAGTGTCTGTGTGCTCGGCCAGCATTGAACCCTACCTTGGCGAAGGAGCAAGTGAGCTTGGCTGAGTGGGCTGCCCACTGTCACACCAAGGGGATGCTGGAACAGATTCAGGACCCTTACTTGAAGGGGAAGATAGCCCCCGAGTGTTTCAAGAAGTTTGCCGAGACAGCAATGAAGTGCGTCTCTGATCAAGGAATCGAGAGGCCTTCGATGGGTGACGTGCTGTGGAACTTGGAGTTTGCGCTGCAGTTGCAGGAGAGTGCCGAGGAGAGCGGGAAGGTGTGTGGCGGAGGTGGGATCGATAACGAGGAGGAGCCGTTTACCGGGTGTGGTGGGGGGAAGAAGGACCCGAACGAGGAGTCGCCTGGGTTGGATGGTACACAGACGAGTGGGATGAGCATGAGCATTGGTGGGAGGAGCCTTGCGAGTGAAGATTCGGATGGGCTGACTCCCAGCGCGGTGTTCTCGCAGATCATGAACCCTAAGGGGCGTTAGGATGGATGAGAGTGCATGCAGAAGAAAGCAGAGGGGGGCCTAACGGCGTTTTAGTTTTTACTGGAAGGATTAAATCTGATATATTTCATTCGTTTTGTAACATGGATCTATCTTTGGCTTGTTGTTTTATTACCTTGGGTTATTAGCGTTCTCATCATCAATATAAGAGAAGTACTGGTTTATGTATTTATCTACAGCGAGGGGAGGTGTAAAAAATAATTTAAGGGGAGGGTGAGGGCTGATTGTAATTTGTTGCTGCTGGGTGGGTCTATTGTGACTGACAGATGAACACAATGTCGTTGTTGGTTGAAATTTATACAAAATGTTGTTTGTTTCTTTTGTTATGGTTTTGATGGTGTGTTGATTGGAGTGTTGGGATGTGGTAGAGAATTATATTTGCATGTGGAGGGCAATGAATCAAAGACATTTGTGGAGTTGGTGAGTGGGAAAACAGTATCTGTTGATATGTTTTGTTCTGCAGAATATGGCTGGCTGACAGCAATATTGGAGAAAGGAGGAGTTTGATTTCCCATTAGGCACAGTGGTAAAGCTCCGGGAAAGTGAGTCCAAGGAAATGGACAACCTTACCTCACCTCACCTCAATGCCCAAATCACGGTGGGGAAGTTTTCTCCTGTAATGTAATGGATTGGAGGTGGAAAGGGTGAGAGCGAGAGGGGGAAGCAGCGAATATTTGTTTGTTTGGTATTATTGAATGAAGAACGTGGGCAGAGCATTGTTGCTTTGCAGGCAGGGCCAGAATAGAACAGACGATGTGGTGAGCTGGAGGACATCATCCCAATCCCAATCCCAATTGTTGAATTCGTTTGATTTGCTGAGCTGGACGCGGTGAGAGAATGGGTGCGGCGTTTCGTTGGTGGTGGCTTTGTGGGCTCATTCGCTCATCCATCCAGGGTGGAAATCGGTATATTTCAGTACCAAATATCACAATTATGAATACGGAAAAATAATGTCCTAAATTAAATCTTACTCTCAAATGAATTTAGTATCTCAATTTCTAATATTTTGTTTATTATCGATCTTAATTTCCTTCAGAATTTTCTATCAAATATACAAAATCAAATATTTCTCCTTTGCCCACAGCTTCACAAACCATACTCCAAAATTTATAAAAACAAGCAATGCTGTCAATACTCATGCAAAATAAATGAAAAAAAATCCCAAATATAATAACAACAAATTAGAGAAAATGTGGCCATAATGGCTGTTTAGGGTCTTGTAGTGGTGGTGAGTATAGGTGTCAATCGGGCAGGTTCGGGCTGGGTTCAATCGGGTTCGGTTTCAAACGGGTTGCGGGTTAGTCGGGTTGCGGGTTCATTGGGTTCGGGTTCATCGGGTTCGGGTTCAAACGGATTGCGGGTTAGTCGGGTTGCGGGTTCATCGGTTTCGGGCAAATCGGGTTGCGGGTTCATCAGGTTTTGGGTGGGGCGGGTTACGGGCGGATCGAGTTTCGGGTTGTTCGGGCTAACGCATCTAGTAACTTGCTCATTAATCGTTACCAACTTACACATTTTATTACACTAATTTAAAATATTTTTCTCAACTTTTTAACCAATTTATTTCTACCTCGTATATATATACTTAATTTTTTTGAAAAAACTAGTCAAAATGTTAAATCAATTTGTATGACTTGCAAACTTGTTATGTAATTAATCGTAATTGGTAAAGTACACTAGCTAATAGTAATGGTGATATCAATATTTGCAACCAAAAGACACCATTAATTATTTATTTGATATTTTAGTATTATTTTAGTAGTAATTGGATTAAAGTATCTCGTTTAGTATAACCATGCAAATCTGGTATTTGGCATGTGGTATTTGGCAAAAGCAGAGTGATAAAAGAAGTTATTTCGAAATAACTCATTGCCCAAATAACTTCAGTAAACTGTTGCCAAACGAGTTATTTGTAAAATTGTTTGAATTATCCTAAAAATTAAACCATTAAAGATTAACTATAAAATTTAGTAAAATTATTGTGACTTCAATCATAACTTACTCAATAACATATATCCTATACGCTTAGCCTTACCCTTAATCGACAATATTAAGTTAGTATATGTTGTTGATTGTATACCCTAAACCATCAATACATTATACACTAACCACATACCCTATACCCTAACCATATGTCCTTATGAGTTGTGATTTTGCTAGTATAGTTAATTTAAAAGTGAAATTCATACTTTGATTTTCAAAACATAGATAAAAAGTGATATTTGCTAATTGCTATACCCTAACCATATATCCAATACTCTACACCACATACCTTGTACCCAAACCACGTACCATAAACATAAATTAAAAAGGGATCTCCTGCCGTTAAAGACATCATGATTTGATGTCCTAAGTGAAGACATCATGAATAATGCCAAAACTTTGATCGAGGTTTTTGTTAGCCTAGGGGGTCAAAAAATCGAGCTTCGTGGGACTAGATTGAGTCTTTTGATGGTGCAAATGATTGTTGTTAGTGGAGGTTGGAACGATTCGACTTCCAAGATGACGTCGTAGTTGGATTGGATGTATCAAGGTAGAAGGTTGATGGTTTTGTGGAAATAAGGGTTTAGGGTTTGGGAGGGGTAGAAGAATTGTTTCTAAAATTAAACACTAAACATAGATTATTTTTAAATTTCAATCTTAAACCTAAATTATTTTCCAATTGAAATTCTAAATCCTAAATTAGGGTTTGATTTAGAATAAAATGCCTCAAAAAAATGTTAATCTTCAAATTTTGTTTCTCACATATTCATATACATATATGAGTTTTTCTCTAAAAGAGCATAGATTCATAATTTATTTCAACCGAGACTCTTTAAAATTGGAACTCCTCTCAAAGTTGGTTTCCCAAAAATTCCCAAAATGGAATTTTGCCTCCCAAAATTTTCATACTTAGCCTCCCGCTTTATATTTGCTAGGCCTAATTTTGATTCCAAAACTTTCTCCCACATTGATTCTCCGCCTGTCCAGTCCAAAATTTTCGCTTCCAAAAGTTTTGGCTCCATAATCCTAAATTTTGGCCGACCAAATTTCAAAGTTTTTGCTCTCTCTCCCGCATTTTTTCCCACTTGCCATTTCCCCCTTCTCTTGTATGGTGCGAGACAAAATTGAGGATACACAAACCCTAATTTTGTTAAAGAACTTAGTGTTCAAGTGACCCTCATGTTTCAATTTTTGTAATTTTTTTAAAATACATAATATCAAGTGAATTTCGTATTTTTTAAATTTCCTATACAAAATGAAAAAATAATTTTACTTAAGTTTAGAATGAAAAACTTTATTTTGAAAAACTATGTATTGTATATTATAATAATTATTCAAGTGGATTAGGTGAAATTCGGGTTGAGTCGGTCGGGTTACGGGTTAGTCGGATTCGGGTCAATCGGGTTCGGGTTAATCGGGTTGCGGGTCAGTCGGGTTGTGGGTCAATCGGGTTCGGGTTAATCGGGTTACGGGTCAGTCGGGTTGCGGGTTAGTTGGGTTGCGGGTTCGGGTCAAGTGGGTATTCATCTGTATTTTGGTATATATCAATCTCAATCCCGTAATTTTTAAGACCATCTCTAATGGAGTTCTAAAATCCTAAAATCTAGCACTATCTGTCCTCCTACAATCATTTCAGAATTTAAAAATGCTAAAATTTGAGGTTGTTAGTAGGGGTGAACAAAACAATCCACAAACCGACCCACCCGTCCAACCCGACCCAATCATCTCGCATTTATCGTCAAAATTAAAGTTTAAGATTGGGTGAAGGTTTTCTTTTGTACAACCCGCCTTTATTGGGTTGAGTCCGGATTTTGGGTAATGCAACCCGTAGAACCCAACCCAACTCGTGTTGAACTATTGTTATAAGTGTTCGTATCCAACACATATTTGTGTCGTAAATAAACATATTTGTGAGAAAATTAAGCTATCGTATCATATTTTTCTCTTGTGGTTTCATTAAAATCCAAACAATATTTATGCATATTGAAACTTTTCACATCGATTTATTTGTTTAAATCTTTATTAATTATATAATCTTTTCATAATGTAGAATATTTGGTTTTTGGTGTTGGGTTGGATATTTAATTAAAAGTATCTCCAACACGACCCAACCCAATTATAAACAAACCTTAGGGTTTTAATTTTTTGGGTTGGGTTGGATTTAACATTTTTAAAATCGTAGTATATGGGTCGGGCGACTAAAATGATCAAACCCGAACCACCCAACCCATGTACACCGCTAATTGTTGGTGCTAAGTCTAGCATACAATAAGTATAGGTGTCAATCGGGCGGGTTCGGGCTGGGTTCAATCGGGTTCGGGTTCAAACGGGTTGCGGGTTCACCGGGTTGTGGGTTTATCGGGTTCGGGTTCAAACAGGTTGCGGGTTAGTTGGGTTGCGGGTTCATCGGGTTCGGGTTCAATCAGGTTGCGAGCAAATCGGGTTTTGGGTCGGGCGGGTTGCGGGTTGTTCGGGTCAGCGCATCGAGTAACTTACTCATTACTCGTTACCAACTTACACATTTTATTACACTAATTTAAAATATTTTTCCCAATTTTTAACCAATTTCTTTCTACCTCGTATATATACATAATTTAAAAAAAAAACTAGTCAAAATGTTGAATCAATTTATATGACTTGCAAATTTGTTATGTAATTAACCGTAATTGGTAAAGTACACTAGCTAATAGTAATGGTTATATCAACATTTGCAACCAAAAGATACCATTAATTATTGGATTTTGCTACGGTGATATGCATGTCACCGTGACATGGACTTTTCGGTCGACCTAATCCAACATGCGGTCGACCGAACGGACTAATTCATGTATGTGAGGTTCCGAGACGCGGTCGACCTCTTACATAATATGGTTGACCGCTTTGGTGGTCTAACAGAATGAAAGGTCGACCCAAATATCTCATAGGCCGACCCTTGTGCACCTAACAGGTCGACTGCATTATGAAGAGGTCGACCGCCTTCACACCGTATCCGTATTGGATAT